TTTTAAATTAAAAGTACTAAATTATGCAGAAGAACATGGAACTCGATCAGCAAAATTCATTTCAGAAAATGTTTACAGGATAATTGATGAAATGTATTTTAACTACAAAAGTGTATTAATAATTGTAAGTTTTGAAGTAATGGTAGAAATAAAAGATAGATATATGATAATTGTTGCGTTTAAAAAAGTCTGTGTAACTCCCGGGATTATAGTGTGATCCATCTACGATTCAACGGTAAATCATCAATTATTAAGCCATAAAGTAGAGGTGTGACCTATCCAGTGGGTCGACCTATCCGCGAGTATATGCGGTCGTTTTTACGCGATTTACGTTTATCCTGTAAATTGATTTCACCAATCAGCCTCCAAACATAGTTTCCCATCATGTATTCTTTATACGATCTTGATAGCGTCGTTCAAAGCCCCTTGGCCATCCCAACATCCCAATACGTCTACGGATCTCTGTGTATACTAAACAGTACCCGCAATTTTACCGTACCCGACTATAGGAGGGTTGATGGCGTCAGTGGATGATGCTGAGAAAAAGGGAAAGGGGAGAGATGTTATTCTTTGGCAGAGAGTCCAATTCCGTAATAAACATCAGGTAACTGTCTTTTTTTCTTTTTTCTCTTTTCCGATACGCCAGTTTTGTCTCCTCACGTTGTCACGGCTTGGATGTTCATCGTTCGAGGCACTATTCCTTACCTAATACATTTTTTGTTCTTGGTAGCGTCGTTCAAAGTACAGTATATCCTGGTGGAAGCCCCCCCCACCCCGCCTTGCACCTCTGAGTACGCCTCTAAGTTCTTGAATTTATCAAGATGAGCGTAAAGAATATAGACTTTGAGGGACGTCCTACATCCCATTTTCCCGTAGTTCTACGCTCTACACAGTTTTCGGCCTGGTGGTTTCCCCAGGAATCCCCGAATCATCGCGACAAATCTGCTCCACGCCGCTTTCTGCATCCTAGCGAGATTTTTTTGGAGGGGGAGGTATTTACTTACGCTTCATGATCTTCTTCATTTTTGGTTCGACGAAGACACGGGCTTTGACATTTGCTGCAGACAGCTTATCATGAAGGAACTTGAAGGCTACAGACTCCTTATCTAGAACCGTGACATATTGTTTCATGTAACCCAGTTGTAATTATTTCTATTATCATCTTTATTTTCATGTTCACGAGGGTTCGGCAGTTGTACGCTCCGGCCTTCTTCAGGTGATTGCACTTTCGAACTGAACCCTTTATTTCGTCCACCGGGGTAGATTGTTAGATTGTTCTAGTTCCACATGCCATGCCTCCATCTGGAGGATCCAGAACAATCTATTTAAATATCAGATTTCCAAGGCCCTCCTTCCTCATTATGTGTCTCAGGAATTTCAGCCGATCTTTCCTGATGTTAAGTATAAGCCTCCTCCTTGTTTGCCTCTTCTCTAAGACCTCATTGTTGCTCACACGCTCAGTCCAGGATATCCTCAGCATCATTCTGTAGAACCACATCTCCGTCGCCTCAAGTCTCTTCTTCATCCAACATTCGCTGCTGTAAAGGACAGATGTTACGTAACAGCTCAGTATCCTTTTCCTCGTTGCCAAAGAAATCCTCCTGTCTCGCAATACTTTGCCCTTGCATTTGAAATCCGCCCTTAGCCATCCCACCATACCAGTACGTCTACGGATCTCTGTGTATACTAAACCGTACCCGCAATTTTACCGTGCCCGACTATAGGAGGGTTGATGGCGTCAGTGGAAGATGCTGAGAAAAGGAAAAAGGTAGAGATGTTATTCTTTGACAGAGAGTCCCCTTCCGTAATAAACATCAGGTAACTGTCTTTTTTTTTTCTCTTTTCTCTTTTCCGATACGCCGGTTTTGTCTTCCCATGTTGTCACCGGCTTGGATGCTCATCGCTCGAGGTACTGTTCGTTACCTGATACATTTTTTGTTCTTGTTCGTGAACAGATTCTGTCCTGACGTTTCACTGTATTTCCTTAATCCAGAACCGGTGTATTATTTACTGTTTGCCGAAATATAACGTAATTTTCCTGCAATGATTTAACATTCGCCGAGATCCAGACCCCCACGTTGTGACAAACGTGACTTCGCTGTGCCTTTTCTATAAATAAATATTGTCATAGTTTGATTTGCTTTTTTCTGTTTAGCGGCATATCGACCTCTGTATGTTACTTAAGGCTGGAATCTAAGTATTTTGTACCCAATTTTACAGCTTCAACTACATTTGTTTTAAATTCGATACCTATACGCCATACGTAAGATTTAGATTAATTTAAAAAATGAAAAAGTTTTCTTGAAGCTTTCATTTTAGATTTAATTGAAAGCTAAAGGATTAAATTTACTTTTTCCAGTAAGCAAAATAATCTGGTGTATTTCAAACAGATTATATTGATTGGAATCGAATTTAATTTTTTCTTCCAGTAACATCGTCAAAGTCGTCCATTTTTTACCTATTTGTAAATACAAGTTAATTCTCGGCTTTAAAAAGCTTT